TAGAAGGTATTGTCCCTGGAAACTGCCTCCTGGATGTGTCCTAAACCCAAAACCCCGAAGCCCACTTGAGCAAGCGCCAAAACCCCCAGCCATTCAAGTAAGTAAAGGGCGGACACGAATGCCCAAAAATTTTCAAAGCGATCGGAACACCTGAAAAGCGACGGCCCTAAGCTAATGAACCGTTGGGTGGGCTATGGCTTTGATTTTTCCCAAAGCGAAACCTGCAGACATCAAGCGTGGAGAGCTGACGCTAACACCCCGTAAAGCGATGGGAACACCTGAACAGCGACACCCCTCATGTTGCGTCCACTAGCACCGCCAGCCGGTTTTGGCAGTCGCTCATTTAGGGGGGGGGGGGGTTTAAGGTTTTGTTTTGCCCAAACCCCAAATCCTAAGCCCTTTCCATGATCGCCTGCACGGAGGTGCTTGAGAAGAAACCAGAGCAGATTCTGAAGGCCCATGTATGCTGGGAGCGCATGCCTTCAAGGAAGAACTGGGGTTAGGGCGCTGGGCGCCAACTGTACAATATGGGCTGGCAACATCAAGGAGGGCTGCCATTCCCATGTGGGCAGTTCTGTAGAAGGTCGGTACCTTCTTGGGAGCCCTATATGGTGCAGCACCCTGAAAGCATGGACCTCAATCTAGAGAGAGCTACCCATGTGCGGTCTAATTATGTCGAACCTGGGAACGCTAAGCATGGCCTTGGGTTTCTGTATGCCCTCTCTGCAGCAGTGGTGCTTGACTCACCTTTCAGACTGAGCAAGAATGCCCTAAACCCTAAAGCCCTGAAACCATCTAGGGGTCCTATTATTGTGAATGCATTACCCTAAACGCCCTAAACCCGGAGCCCAGTATTCCACAAGAGGTGTTGAGCTCTGCGGTTTGCCCCTTTAGAAGCCCCAAACCCTGAACTCTCAATATCCCGAACCGTTCAAGCGCAGCAACGCAGAAACCCTAAACCCTAAACCCTTAACCCCAGAGCCTCCTTGACAACTCCAGGGGTTGGCTAAACACTTAACCGGTTTAGGGTGAAGGGTTTAGGTTTTGGCCCATTTGAGTTGACTAGTTATTTGTGGTTCATGTCTACAGATGTGTGTCTACATAGCATGAAGCCCTGAAACCCGAGTCCGTAATCCTAAACTGTAAATCCCGAAAGCCGCGAGCCCGAAACGCTGGAACGTTGCGCTTGCGACAGTTGTAGAGTAGTTACATGGTCTCTTAGTATCGGCCCTAAACCCTAAACCCTAAGCTCTATGCCCTAAGCCTTAAGCCCAAAACCCTAAACCCTAAAACCCCAAGCCCTAACACCTAAAACCCTAAACCCTAAACCCCAAACCCTAAACCCTAAACCCCAAACCCTAAACCCTAAACCCTAAACCCTAAACCCTAACCGTAAACCCAAAACCCTTAGCCCTAAACCCTAAACCCTAAACCCTAAACCCTAAACCCTAAACCCTAAACCCTAAACCCTTCCCTTAGAGACAGGGCCACGCCGGCTGCGTCAAAGCAGTGAGCTTCTCCCAACATGGCAAGGTGCGGAGGTGTTTAGGGTTTAGGGTTTAGGGCTCAGGGTTTAGGGTTTAGGGTTTAGGGTTTAGGGTTTCAGAGTCTTAAGTAGCGTTTGGGGCTTTCTGTTTTGTGGAAACAGAATCCAAGTTTTAGTACTTTGGGTTTGTTCCGCCTCCCGCCCGAAACCCTTCAAAATCTAAGTCCTAAGCCCAAGAACCCCTGTACTTGGAGGCTCATGGGTAGCTGGAAGCAAGATGAGCATGGCAACTACAGTAGCAACCCCTATTTGGGGGACTTGTAATAACCCCTACTTATAATGGAAATGAACCTGCAAACCCTACACCCTAATCCCTAAATCCTACACCCTCATCCCTAAACCATAAACCCCAAAACCCTAAACCCTAAACCTTAAAAGCAGCAAGCCCTGCAAGCGCCCTGCATCTTCAGAGCCAAAGCGGTTCACCTATGTGGGCCCCCTAAACCCTAAACCCTACACCCTACACCCTAAAGCCTAAACCCTATGTGGGCCTAAGTAAATGCATGGTTTGGGGTTTAGGGCTTGGGGATTAAAACTTGGATGTCATCGCTGATGTGCAGGGGCCAATGTCCGCATGGACCGGTTGAGTCCAGCACATTCAGGTGGTTTAGGCTTTGCGGCTTGGTTTTGCGGGCTTCTCTAGATCCTAAACCCTAAACCCTAAACCCTAAACCCTAAACCCTAAACCCTAAACCTAAACCCTAAACCCCATACAGTTTGGGGCATCTTCCCCGCCATCCTGCCACTCTCCAACGCAGGGCCTCGCCAGCGGTGTGCGGCTCAGACTGGCCTCTGCAACTCACCCCAAGTCTTCAACAACCCTAAACCCTAAACCCTAAACCCTCAACCCTCAACCCTCAACCCTAACAACAGCATAACTGAGGGAATTGGTGGGCTCAGGCTTCTTCGGGTCTTTGGGGTTCTTCAAGATGTCTTTACGGGTTTCGGGTTTAGAGGCTTGATCCAAGAGTTTGGGGCTCAGGGGTCAGGCTGGATTTACATAGGGATCATGGTTAGTTGAGGTATAGGCTTCAGGGGTACTTGTTCTTTTTTCAAGGGTTTTACAGAACACGAAGCCGCACAGAGTTCCTTCAGGCTGGGCCCCTAACCCCGCAACCCTACACCCTAAACCCGAAACCACCCATTCCTCAGGTTCCATTTGGCGGCTTAAGTGCCTCAAAAGTTCATGGGGTGTACGAACTTGATGTAACTGGCTTAGGGCTCAGGGCTTAGGGGAAATTCATCCCTCAGACCCCACGACCCGATTTCTGTGTGCCAATTTCCAGGCTCGAGCGCTGGTGAGGTCATGGTGTGGTCCGCGCAGGGGCGCTTAGTGTGGGCCTCAGGGTTGAGGGGCTTTCAGGGTTAGTGTAGGGGTGATTACTGGGCGTATAGGGTTTTAGGGTGTGCAGGGTTTATAGGGTTCAATTTTAGGCTGATAGGGCCTATAGAGTTTGTTTCCATGTCAGTTTGTAAAACAGCAACTATCGGTTGTCGCTCTTGGGCATACAGCCATGCCCTACACCCTATAAGACATTAAAGCCCGAAACCCTAAACTAAACCCTTTAGAGCAAGTAAGCTGGGTTGAATCTGCCAGCGTTTGGGGCTTGGACTCGTTCCTAAACCCTAAACCCTAAACCCTAAGCCCTAAACCCTAAACCCTAAACCCTAAACCGCATCTTCCGGAGTTCCCTGAGGTACTAGAGTTAGGGAGCCCGGTACCCTTTCATGGAGGAAGAGACCTTAACCCGTCTGGGGGTTTAGGGTTTAGGGTTTAGGGTTTAGGGTTTAGGGTTTAGGGTTTAGGGTTTAGGGTTTAGGGTTTAGGGTTTAGGGTTCGGGTTTAGGGTTCAGGGTGTAGGGTTTCTAAGTAGGGTTCGAGCTCAGGGGTAGATTCCTTAATCAAGGGGTATTGGGGCCCGAGGAGCTCAATCTCGCGCCGTGTGGCTGCGCGATCTGCGCCATCGGGTGCAGCTGCCATGATTGGAGCGGGCTAAACTCGAATGCCCCAGATGCCTGAAACATCCTGAAACCCCTTAGCCAGGCAGACAGACGGACGGACGCACGGACAGACAGACACACACACACACACACACAGACACACAGACACACAGACACACAGACACACAGACACACAGACACACAGACACACAGACACACAGACACACAGACACCCAGACACGCAGACACGCAGACACGCAGACACGCAGACACGCAGACACGCAGACACACAGACACACAGACACACAGACACACAGACACACAGACACACAGACACACGGACACACAGACACACGGACACACAGACACACAGACACACAGACACACAAAGAGACACACACAGACACAACAGAAACACCACAGACACCACACAGAGGCACACAGAGGCACACAGAGGCACACAGAGGCACACAGAGGCACACAGAGGCACACAGAGACACACAGAGGCACACAGAGGCACACAGAGACACACAGAGACACACAGAGACACACAGAGACACACAGAGACACACAGAGACACACAGAGACAAACAGAGACACACAGAGACACACAGAGACACACAGAGACACACAGAGACACACAGAGACACACAGAGACACACAGAGACACACAGAGACACACAGAGACACACAGAGACACACAGAGACACACAGAGACACACAGAGACACACAGAGACAAACAGAGACACACAGAGACACACAGAGACACAGAGAGAGACACACAGAGACACACAGAGACACACAGAGACACACAGAGACACACAGAGACACACAGAGACACACAGAGACACACAGAGACACACAGAGACACACAGAGACACACAGAGACACACAGAGACACACAGAGACACACAGAGACACACAGAGACACACAGAGACACAGAGAGACACAGAGAGACACAGAGAGACACAGAGAGACACAGAGAGACACAGAGAGACACAGAGAGACACAGAGACCCAGACACCCACACGCCCACACGCCCACACGCGCACACGCGCACACCCGAACACCCCCACACGCGCACACGCCCATATGCGCACACGCGCGCACGCAAGAACGAACCAAACAAAGAAAACATCCTAACGCGCTAATCCCTGAAACCCAGAGAAAAAGCCCTCAACCCGTAACCCTAAAAGCCCCAAAGCTCGATGTCAAATGATTCGACGCTCCGAACATGCAAGAATTGCAAGGCTGGCGACTCGCGTGTCCTGTGTCTCGTGGAGGTTCACGACTTTTGCGGCTCTGTCCTCAGATTGAAAATGTGTTCCAAGGCGTTCGGGGTGGGCAAGCTGTGCGTGTGTCGAAACAATCTTCCCGGTGCTTTGGCTCCGACATCTCCAAGCGTTGTGCAAAGGCCAAAAGACTTCAAAGTCATTGACTGTCAGGATTGCCTTTGGCCTTTTTTTAACCTCACAGCTTGAGTCTGGGGATGCCAGGGTGGCTACCGCGGGATGTGCAGAGCTCAGCGCGTCACGCCCAACATGTCTGGTGTGGGCTTGCGAATGCATCGCAAGAGCTTGTTCGAGTGCACCAGGGAGCAGGAAGGCATCCTGAAGACAGACAATCCGGGCGTGAACTGTGACGTTTCTGCTCTTTCTTCCGCAGAGTTTTTTGCCCTCAGGGCCCAGCAGTGTGCTATAGCCATCCCGAGCCGAACTCTTTCCAGCGACATGGCAACCCAGCTCTGGAAGTTCGCGCTCGCAACTCGGCCGCAAAAGAGAGCAGCAGCCGCAGGGCGCCGGCCTCGCAGTGATATGCACTTCTTGCGCGCCCGTGTTGTTGCATGTTGTTGCCACAGCTCTGAGTTGCTGCTGGAGTTCGTGGCCGTCCATGGCCAGAGCCAGACCCCCGAGACCTGTGAGGGAGAGACCTGCGAGGAGGGCGTGTTCATGCAGGTCCGCTCCATGCCAGCATCCTTCCTGGAGCTGTCCATGGCACAGATCCGCAGCGGAGCCCGCGGTGCGCCGGTGGAACAGCTCAAGCAGCAGCTTCGTGGCATGGCCATGGCGAGGGTAGGGGCCGGCAGTGGCGACCCAAACTACACTGTCTGGAACATCAGCCAGGCCAACTTCTCCGCAGTCTTCGCCTCCATAAAAGAGGACATGGAGGCGATCATCGACGAGATCGAGCTCTCAGCGACCCGGGACAACAACCAGCTCGAGTTGGCCCGGGGTGCTGTGGCCGACTGCAACACGCAGCTGAACAGAAGTGTTCCGCAAGACGTGCAGGACTTGGGCGCACTGCACCGAGCTTGCCGTGTGCAAGAGGCATCAGATCTCGCAGCCCGAGATGCCGCCTTCCAGGCCCTGACGGCGCATCTTCAAAATCCTATATCTGTCCAAGATTGCCTGCAAGACTTCGGCCGAGGTGGGTGCGAGGTGAATGACATCACCAGCACGGAGTATGTCCAACGGGCCCTAGAGTGCAGCGAAGCCATCCGTGATTGGGCAGGCACCTACCACAGCCAGCTCGACACACTGCAGTCCACCTATGATTCTGCCGTTGCCGCGTACGCGGACAAGACAAAAGAATGCAACGTTGACCAGCAGGAGTTCGAGATTGGCTACTGCACCTTGCGCACGCACTTGGAGGACCAATGCAGCGAGCAGCACACTTGCTACGACAGCGCGCAGAGCCTGTTCAACAGCACCCGTGACCTCATCCTTCAATCGAACGCCAGCCGGTACGTGGCTTACGCCTCCGCAAGGCAAGTGCAGTGCTACATCGACGTGCTGAGCGCAGACAATCTGACAGCCTCTGCCGTCGACAGCTGCGACCAGGCCCAGTTCGACACGTCCAACCTCACACTCAACATACCCGAGCTGCCCGCCAAGATGCAGTGCAATATCTTTGATGACGACTTCCCATGCTCGCAGGAATGGATCCATTATAGCTACGTCAACTTCCCTTCTGGCGTCCACCTTGCTGCTTGCGCTGCCCTCAGACCCAGCCGGCGCTAGGCCTTCTGAATCTCATGTTTCGCTGCACGTGACCTGGTGGTTCGGTTCGAGGCAGGCCATGCATGTGCCATCGCTACAACTCCACCGACCTCCGGCGCGGCGAGTGCCACCGGCTCAGTGGCGTCCAGTGTCGGGCATCCCGATGCTTTGCGCCAGCAAACTCGTCCAAGTGCTGCCCGTTCACCACACAAATCCACGAAGCGGGCTTAATCGGCAATTAGGGCGGAGGGACCCCTCACTGACCCCTCAATAGCCAGCTATTCAGAGACATGATACCTACTGAACATGCTGAATCTGCTGGAAGGGAAGTTGGGATGGGGGCGAAAGCTTGCAGGTCCGACTGGTCGATGGCGACACTCCCCGGAGTGGCAGACTTGAAATCTTCCACAGTGGCCAGTGGGGAAGTGTTTGTGACGACGTGCCTTTGCTTAAATCATGTCTTTGCGAAGGGGCTGGAGCAAGACGACATGCAACCACATTCGTGCCAAGCATGCATGATAGTATCGCACTTCGAACGCTTCGCTCACTTCGCAAGCACACACAAGAACGGCCTCTCTCACCAGTAGGGTTTTTCTCCGTGATGCTGATTGCTTTCTGGTACTCATTGCATGCAGCATTTTTGGCACTATGCAGCGGGACACGTGTGGGTCGGTGAGGGGATTTATATGCTTCATGCATGGTCACTGATCACCGAGTTGTTCGACCACAATGCCGCTGAAGTGGCTTGTCGTCAGCTGGGTTATCTGGGCGTCGGCACCAGTCTTGGAGGTGTTGGCGGCGGAAGCTTGGCCATCAACTTGCGCAGATGTGTGTAAGTCCGAGCTGCTCCTAGCCGTGCTGAGGAAGTGGACCCGTGTGGATGGATCAGGTGGCGTGCACAGGCTCAGAGACCCACCTCTGGGACTGCAACTTTGCAGGCGCGGTGATCGTTCTCCTCAAGTTGAGTTTATGGCGCGCGGGGCAAATGCTGCGGTGAGAGCGTGCGCAATTTGCGATTGCCCGCCGCGCGCCAACAGCAGAGACGACGGCGACGACGACGACGACGGAGGTTGCTGCGGCCACGGCAAGGACGCGACGAATCGGCGGACAACGACGATCAATGATGCAATTTGAGTTGGTTTCTGCGACGAGGTAGAACTTGCATCTTTGGGACTGCAACTTTTGAGGCCGTAAAGTATCGCGCAAACATTGCACGGCACCTTCACAGAGCCACTCCCACTTGTACAGGAGCATTGCAGCACAATTGCATTTGTGGTGCGCCGTATTTGCTAAGCACTGCTAAGCACTGGCACGTGTATCTTAACATACTGTTGCATGTTTGCGCTATGCGTACATTATGCCGGGATACACTCGGTGCATCCATGGACATGCATGTCTGCACAGTATAGGTCCAAGCATGTCCAAGCATGATTCGAGGGCCAGCTCCAAAGCCAAAGCGTCATTATAGTCTAGTTGATAGTAGTTGTAAAGAACGAGGTTTCTGTCATGATTCGTGACGTTGTGTAGACTCAAGCGATGAGAGATGGGAAATGTGGGATGTCAAGAACTCAGTCAGGAATTTGATGCGCACCGACCGCTGTGCAGCTGTGCAGCATTCCTCTGCCACTCCTCGAAGCTCGCAGGCTGGGGCTCTCACAACTGCTCGCACCAGGAGGATGTCGGAGTGACCTGCCAGGCAGGGTTTGCGACCGTTGGTCCACCCGTGCATGTGCAGAAACAGCAGCAGCAACAGCAGCAGCAACGACAGTGGTTACCAAACTATTCACATCGATTAACAATATCAACCACAACAAACACGACATGAGCAGCAGCGGCAGCCAGATGACCAAAAGGAACAGGCAACAGATTTAGTGTTATGTATGTAGGACCTTTAGGGTCTATTTGGCGCTCCGCCTGGCCTCGACCTCACGGACTTCAAGTTTTTTTTAGGATTTTAAGGGGTTTATTCGATTTTAAAAAGCATAAAATCCTTAAAAACAAAATCGAGGCCGAATATGGCTTTAGGAGAAGCCCCAAACGATTTAAATTTTTAAAGACCCTTAAAATCCTTTAAAAAAATTCGAAATAATTTAATTTTTCAGGATTTTAAGGATTTTATTGGATTTTAAAATGCATAAAATCCTTTAACAAAAAATCGGCCTCGGATTGTTTTTTAGGTTTTTATGCACTTTCAAATCGAATAAAGTCCTTAAAATCCTGAAAAATAAATTATTTCGATTTTGTTTTTTCAGGATTTTAAGGATTTTTAAAAGTTTAAATCGTTTGGGGCTTCTCCTAAAGCCATATTCGGCCTCGATTTTGTTTTTAAAGGATTTTAAGGATTTTATTCGATTTTGAAATGCAGAAAAAACCTTAAAAAACAATATCGAGGCCGAATATGGCTTTAGGAGAAGCCCCAAACGATTTAAATTTCAAAAACCCTTAAAATCCTTTAAAAAAAGGTCGAAATATTTTTTAAGGATTTTAAGGGTTTTATTGGGTTTTAAAATGCATAAAATCCTTTAAACAAAAATCGGCCTCGGATTTAATTTGTTTAAGGATTTTATGCATTTTAAAATCGAATAAAATACTTAAAGTCCTTAATTTTTTTTCCGATTTTATTTTTTAAGGATTTTAAGGATTTTTGAAATGTAAATCGTTTGGGGCTTCTCCTAAAGCCGTATTCGGCCTCGATTTTATTTTTTTTAAGGATTTTAAGGATTTTATTCGATTTTGAAACGCGTAAAATCCTTAAAAACAAAATTCGAGGCCGAATATGGCTTTAGGAGAAGCCCCAAACAATTTAAATTTGAAAAACCCTTAAAATCCATTAAAAAAAGGATCGAAATATTTTTTAAAGGAGTTTAAGGGTTTTATTGGATTTTAAAACGCATAAAATCCTTTAAACAAAAATCGGTCTCGGATTCATTTTTTTTAAGGGTTTTATGCATTTTAAAATCGAATAAAATCCTTAAAGTCCTAAAACAAATTATTTCGATTGTTTTTCTTAAGGATTTTAAGGATGTTTGAAAATATAAATCGTGTGGGGCTTCTCCTAAAGCCATATTCAGCCTCGATTTTATTTTTTTAAGGAGTTTAAGGATTTTATTGGATGTTAAAATGCATAAAATCCTTTAACAAATCTGCCTCGGATTTATTTTTTAAGGATTTTATGCATTTTCAAATCGAATAAAACCCTTAAAATTCTTAAAAAAGAAATGATTTCGATTTTATTTTTTAAAGGATTTTAAGGATTTTTAAAAATTTAAATCGTTTGGGGCTTCTCCTAAAGCCATATTCGGCCTCGATTTTATTTTTTTAAGGATTTTAAGGATTTTATTCGATTTTGAAACGCATAAAATCCTTAAAAACAAAAATCGAGGCCGAATATGGCTTTAGGAGAAGCCCCAAACGATTTAAATTGTTAAAAACCCTGAAAATCCTTTAAACAAAAATCGAAATATTTGTTTTAAGGATTTTAAGGATTTTATTGGGTTTTAAAATGCTGAAGCGAGTTAATCATATTGTCTGAACTCTCGGCTATTAGAAAAAACAAGTTATATGTTTTATCTAGATGTTTTAGTATTATTATTGCGAAAATTTTTATAAGCGTTTAAACTCTTGTTAGTCTTCTGGATCTGTTTAGACACGTGCGGTTGCTCCACTGCTTGGACGTTCGTTTCGACTATCCTTCGTATTGCGTCGTAGCTCGATTTTTTTCATTTTCCGAACTATGCTGTTTCTGAACTGGAGGCTTTCGGATGGCGTGCCAACTCTCACAAATTCTCGTTTGTTATGTCTTTCCTTTTTGTTGAGCATCTTATTACAAGCACTTACATATTTTCAATCCACCCCATCTCGGGTATGGTCTCGTCTATGTCGAAGAGCTGGTCAATGTCGTGATTTCTTACTGGGTTCAGGCTGTTTGTATTGCGATTGATCGCCGCATTCTCCAGACTACTAACGATGTCGCCCGCCGTTCTAAACCTTTTGTGTTTTTCCGTAGGTCTATCGAAACCGAAGATCGGACTAACCACAGGAGCGTCGTAGGTTCTCGTTTTGTAGTCTTTGTTTTTGAACTCGTTGTTAAATTCTAAAACAACACTGCCGCCCATGCTGTGACCCAAAAGAGTATCGTCCTGCGAAGAACCCTTTTAGCCTCTTTGTATCTCGCCATGTCCCTAATACCACCCGTTTTTGATTCGGTGAAGTTTTCCACCCAGTCGTTTGTAGAAACCGTCCCTCCGGCAGACATTTTCTTGCCCCTCACGTAAAATTTTGTCCATGTCGTAAGCCTTTTTGATGCCCTGGGTGTTTGATATGTTCCCGTTTGTCTCCAGCATGGCATTAGCCTTAGAATGTATTTTGGTCATATAACTAGATTACAGTTTTTATCTTCGCTAATATATATATATATGCATATATTATCACATGAGTTTCAGACCGCTTACATACAAGAAGACCTATGTGAATTCGAAATTCCGAACGCGACAGCAAGTCGTCTTCAAACTTTCAGAATTTCGAAATTCCGGAAGGAACGATCGCCCAGTTCCACGAAGTAGCGATCACCAACACATGGTATTCGACAAGCGCCAACAACAACAAATTATACCCTAAACACCAAGTCTTACTGCCCGCGACCCCGCCAGGGATCACATACAGAAGGGTACTTTGGAATCCCAGCAGGCAACTACACAGCTCCCGAACTCGCAACCGAAATAGCGGTAGCTACAGCAACCTGACCAACAAAATCACTATACATCCAATATATCCAATTATATTGAGATAATATTCATTCCTCTAACAGACGCGGATATTCCCGGTTTCGTAGGTTCCTTTTCCATTTCGGTCGATGTCAACAACTTAAACAGCATCAGCGAAACTATAAGTTTTTCAGAAACGGTCGCCGACAGTTTCACTTCTACTACTCCATGGGTCACGGGGTTTGTAACACTGTTGCCACACCAAGATATTTACATTTCGTGCCCCGAGCTCTCAAACAACAACTTTCACAGCCCATCGACTTTTACGACGCCATAGTCAAAAAAGTCCCCGTGAATGCCCCCTTCGCCGGTGTTGTTTCAGAGTGTTCAGCCTGATTGTTGCCAAGGCGTATGTCCTCCTCGCAGTAGCGGATCCGCTTAACGCGGCTAGAATAGCCCGACACGACGAGCTCTCTGTGTTTCTGGCACGCTTGCCGCCGCCGATCTGCGACACCGTCTCAGGATCAACACATGAAGCAGCAGCACCGCGATGCTCTTCACTCTGTTCAACTTCGGTGTCAGTCACCATGTTCGCCAACATTGACGTCACCGTCCAACTCTGGTCGTCGCTCGGGAACCTGTAATGGTTCTCAAGCATCTGTATGACAGGGCCGAACGGCATGTTGTGGTCGATCACTACCACCTCATCACCTCGCAAGGTCTTGATGTTCAACGTGGTGTTTCCGCTGAACATGGCTGAGGAATGGCAGATGTAGGGCAAGACACCGATTGCTGAAAAGCGTACATATGTCACGGAGAAACACATGTATTCAAAAAAAGACACGCCGTGCTTCAACACATGCTCTCCTGCTCCACATATCGCAAAGCATTCAACAAATAAGTTTTAACTCGTTGCTTTCAAATCCAGTGCCGTCCTCGTTTTAAGGTTTCATGTGAGACATCACATATTTACTGATACTGAAGAACATCAGGCTGCTCAGTAGCCACTTTCGTTGCCGCTTTCGTAGCAATCTTTGCTTCATCACACGAAACTTGGTCTTCACATGCTCTTGTTCGGCTAGGCGTGTTCGTAATCATCGAGGCACAAGTCAATCTCGACCTTATGTTTGAGGTTCTCAATCAGAGCCTTCATTTCAACGGTGTCGTCACGGGCAAGCACATCGCTGACATACGGGAAAAGATTGGTCGCATAGTCCAAGCACTGCTGTGACATTGATGTCAAGCACTGGAACAGCCCCACAAAAGAAGTCTCGAACCAAAGTGCTACGACAACAACAAGATAAACTCACAACATCTCTCACGATTTCCTAGGCAAGAAACTTAACAAGGAATTTTAGGGAAGAAAGACTATAGGAAATCGGGCGAGGGTATGATGTCAAAATTAGGAATTTTGGCAAGGAATATTGGAAAATGTGTGGGGGACCCTAGGGATAAAACGTGCAAGGTGTTTGGGCGGGAGCCCGGGAGTTACATTAGGCCATCCCTAACTCTCAGACCCTCTTGACCCTAGGACCTCGAAACGTCAAGGTTTAGGGTTTTAGGGCCCGGGCTTTAGAGTTTCGGCCCAGTCTCGTAGCTGGATAGCATAGCAGCAACCGCTCGGCAGCAAGAAGAAAAGGCAGCATAAGCAGGAGGGGGAGGGCACAACTTGATTCATGCTCAGGGATGCTATGAGCATACGAAACAATTGGCGGCAGCATGGAAAAGAAACGCTGTCCGCACGCAAATGACACCGCAACCGCAACCGCTACACGAATCAACCGTTGCTAGGCAGAGATTAGTGTCAGCACACGCAAGGAAAAAACAAAAACAGTACTGCAGCGTAGCCGCGGCTGCAATAAAACGTCGTAGCCACAATCAGAGCAAGTTCAAGCAGAATTTAGCGGACGCAACAACCACTCGATTCGCAACAAATCACTGCCGCAGCTAAGCCACAGCAGCCTTAGCAAGCAACACCGCACTTTGGAACTTGAGCTGCCAGGAGGCCAGGTGGGTACAGCTGAGTACCAGCCAGTCTCCGCCACCAAGTGCGCGAGATGGAGCTTCGCTGGTCGTGGCCAACGGTGCCGAGGCATATCTTTTTGGAGGCCGAGGCGACGGCCCAATCCGGCTGGGCGATTTCTGGAAGCTTACCGTCCAGGCAGACGATCAAGCTCGGTGGACGCAAATCACCCCGATGATTGGCACGCCACCCTCACCAAGGCAGAACCACGTGTCTGTTTGGACCGGATCCAGTCGAAACAGTATCTTGATCTTCTCCGGCTACGATCTGCCCACCTACGACTCCGAAGGCATGAATGATCTGCACGAGTTCACTTTGGACACCAGCACGTGGAGTGAGCTGATTCCGAATGGCGCAGCTGGATCGCCAGCGAAACGTCTCCTTGCCTCTGCAATCTGGGTCCCAGGCCGTGGTATGCTAATGCACGGAGGACTCGATTATTCCGCCAACTACCATAGGTTCGCAGACCTTTGGGAATTCTCATTTTCCCAATCCCAAACCGGCAGTTGGTCCCTGCTGGAAGACGATGTTCCATCAGGACGTAGAAGTGAGCATGCGGCGGTTTGGGCTTCCAACCTTGGCAGCGGAGGGAAGATGTTGATTTACGGCGGAAATAATCGTGACGGAACTTCCATTTATGCAATCACAGGTAGCACTTGGGCCTACGACCCCAATGTAGCCGGCGGTCAGTGGGTCGAGTTGGATTATGGAGCTTCCCGGTCTCCCACATCGGCCGCATGGTCCCCAACGCGAAGATCCATGCGCGTTTTCGGGGGTAGAGACCTCGCAGACGAGCAAAACGATGTGCGAGAGTGGAGCAGCGACGGCGGCTGGAAACTTGTGGATTATCTATCCGGCACAGATCCGCCGAAACGCCGATTTCACAGCACAGTTTGGATGGCGCGCGAGGATGGATCTGAGGCGGGCAGCTAAGCCAGTGCGAGATAGCGCGAGGTTCTTATGGTTTTGCCTGCGTGCGATGTGTCATGCGATCTGGTGTGTTCTGCATGGCAGGCCATGGTGATTTTTGGCGGCGTTACCGGTTCCACCCGTTACCAAGACACTTGGAGGCTGCTGGCCTGAGGATAGCAGGAGGACGCATGTGGGGGCCCTGTGGGGTTCTGGGCGCTGCTTTGTGTGTTTGAGTCTTGCTCTTTGCATGTTGTGGCGAGGAGCCCGGGGGCGGACGAAGACTGGGACTTGAGAGGGTGCCTCTATAGATTCTAGAGATCCTTCCAACTTTTAACTTGGCCCTGGCGGCGCTGCCTGAGCCGAACTACTCGGACCGGCTTTGGCCGACAGGAGAGTCTGGTCAGGCCTGCAGGCCAAAAGACCGAGGCTCGTTTTAACCCCAGCAATCGTTTATAGAGCCCCTGCCATTGCTTGAGCCCCTGCCACGCGGGCTGTGTGTATGGAGAAGGAATATTGGTCATTCGAAAAGTACTGCAGCAAAGCGGGGGAGTCGCCAGCTGCACCTGTAGGTGGGAGACATGACCATTGTCCATGGAGCTTAGTGCGTCAGCTGTTGCTACCAGCAAATTAAAGGCCAATTGCAGCAGCGGCACTGCAACAATCGCAGCATGCCTCTGCGAGAGGTCGGGATGCCGCGCCAGCCATTGAGCTGCCTTTGAGCTGGAGGCGAGCCGGTGTGATATTGCATCTTTGATCTTTGTACATCTGTGTGCTGCGGTTCTGGCGGACCCACATATGATATGGGCACCTTCGAGCTCCGCAGCGGGTGCTTCTGCGTGAAACTTGGTGGCTTTACAGGGCTGCGCATGGTTGGGGAGATACATGGAGACACTCTGCAGGAATTTCTGCAAGTTTCTGCACCTCGCATGCTGGGTTGACGTTCGGCATGGTGCCTCGATGTCAAATGATTCGACGCTCCGAACATGCAAGAATTGCAAGGCTGGCGACTCGCGGCGTGGCCTCTCATGGAGGTTCACGGCTTTGGCTGCCCTATCCTCAGATTGACATGTGTTCCAAGGCCTTCGGGGTGGCAAGCTGTGCGTCGAAACAAGTCGCTCCGACATCTCCAAGCGTTGCGCAAAGCGCTTAACGCTTCAAAGTCATTGACTGTCAGGATTGCCTGTGGCAGATGTTGGAACCTCAAAGGCCCATCCCCAAGACTGGTGCTTGCTTCAGCTTGACAGAAACAACCTCCCGGATGTTCGGTGTATCTTGAGATATCTTGAGCCTGAATAGTCACCCAGGGAGCAGGAAGGCAACCTGAAGACAGACAATCCGGGTGTGAACTGTGACGTCTCTGCTCTTTCCTCCGCAGAATTGTTTATACCCTCAGGGCCCAGCAGTGTGCTGTAGCCATTGCTCCTTTACCCCGAGCCGAACTCTTTCCAGCGACATGGCAACCCAGTTCTGGAAGTTCGCGCTCGCACCTTGGCCGCAAAAGAGAACGGCAGCCGCAGGGCGCCGGCCCCGCAGTGATATGCACTTCTTGCGCGCCCGTGTTGTTGCATGTTGTTGCCACAGTCTGCTCTGAGTTGCTGCTGGAGTTCGTGGCCGTCCATGGCCAGAGCCAGACCCCCGAGACCTGTGAGGGAGAGACCTGCGAGGAGGGCGTGTTCATGCAGGTCCGCTCCATGCCAGCATCCTTCCTGGAGCTGTCCATGGCACAGATCCGCAGCGGAGCCCGCGGTGCGCCGGTGGAACAGCTCAAGCAGCAGCTTCGTGGCATGGCCATGGCGAGGGTAGGGGCCGGCAGTGGCGACCCAAACTACACTGTCTGGAACATCAGCCAGGCCAACTTCTCCGCAGTCTTCGCCTCCATTAAAGAGGACATGGAGGCGATCATCGACGAGATCGAGCTCTCAGCGACCCGGGACAACAACCAGCTCGAGTTGGCGCGGGGCGCCGTGGCCGACTGCAACACGCAGCTGAACAGAAGTGTTCCGCAACACGTGCAGGACTTGGGCGCACTGCACCGAGCTTGCCGTGTGCAAGAGGCAGCAGATCTCGCAGCCCGAGATGCCGCCTTCCTGGCCCTGGAGGCGCATCTTCAAAATCCTATATCTGTCCAAGATTGCCTGCAAGACTTCGGCCGAGGTGGGTGCGAGGTGAATGACATCACCAGCACGGAGTATGTCCAACGGGCCCTAGAGTGCAGCGAAGCCATCCGTGATTGGGCAGGCACCTACTACAGCCAGCTCGACACACTGCAGTCCACCTACGATTCTGCCGTTGCCGCATACGAGGGCAGGAAGACAAAAGAATGCAACGTTGACCAGCAGGAGTTCGAGATTGGCTACTGCACCTTGCGCACGCAGTGGGTGGACCAATGCAGTGGGCAGCACACTTGCTACGACAGCGCGCAGAGCCTGTTCAACAGCACCCGTGACCTCATCCTTCAATCGAACGCCAGCCGCTACGTGGCTTACACCTCCGCAAGGCAAGTGCAGTGCTACATCGACGTGCTGAGCACGGACAATCTGACAGCCTCTGCTGTCGACAGCTGCGACCAGGCCCAGTTCGACACGTCCAACCTCACACTCAACATCCCCGAGCTGCCCGCCAAGCCGCAGTGCGAGATCTCTGATGACCACTTCCCTTGCGCACAAGCTTGGATCGCTGCGAACTACGGCGACTTCCCTCCGGCCGCCCCCCTTGCTGCTTGCGCTGCCCTCAGACCCAACCGCCAACAGGCCTTCCTAATCTCATGTTTCGCTGCACGTGGCCTGGTGGTTCGCTTCGAGGCAGGCCATGTGCCGTCGCTACAACCCCACCGACCTCCGCTGCGAGTGCCGCCGGCTCAGTGCTGTCCAGTGTCGGGCATCCCGATGCTTTGCGCCAGCAAACTCGTCCAAGTGCTGCCCGTTCACGACCACGAAGCGGGCTTAAGTGGCAACTTAAGGGTGGAGGGACCCCTCAATAGCCAGCTAGGCAGAGACATAATGATCTGCTGAAGCTGCTGAAGCTGCTGGAAGGGAAGTTGGGATGGGCGCGAAAGCTTGCAGGTCCGACTGGTCGATGGCGACACTCCCCGGAGTGGCAGACTTGAAATCTTCCACAGTGGCCAGTGGGGAAGTGTTTGTGACGACGTGCCTTTGCCTGAATCATGTCTTTGCGGAGGGGCTGGAGCAAGACGACATGAGATAGCATTCGTGCCAAGCGTGCATGATAGTATCGCACTTCGAACACCTCTCACTTCGCAAGCACACACAAGAACGGCCTCTCTCACATAGCAGGCTGTTTCTCCGTGATGCTGTTTGCTGTCTGATACTCATTACAACATTTTTGCCCTATGCAGCGGGATATGTGTGGGTCGATGAGGGGTTTCATACGCTTCATGCATGATCACTGATCACTGAGTTGTTCGACGACAATGCCGCTGAAGTGGTTTGCCATCAGCTGGGTTATCTGGGCGGCACCAGTCTTGGACGTGTTGGCGGCGGAAGCTTGGCCATCAACTTGCGCAGATGTGTGTAAGTCCGAGCTGCTCCTAGCCGTGCTGAGGAAGTGGACCCGTGTGGATGGATCAGGTGGCGTGCACAGGCTCAGAGACCCACCTCTGGGACTGCAACTTTGCAGGCGCGGTGATCGTTCTCCTCAAGTTCTTGAGTTTATGGCGCGTGGGGCAAAGGCTGCCGTGAGAGCGTGCACAAAAGCGATTGCCCGCCGCGCGCCAACAACAGTGACCACAGCAGCCACAGCGACGACGACGGCGACGGCGACGGCGAGGACGACGACGACGACGACGGCGACGGAGGTTGTTGCGGCCACGGCAAGGACGCGACGCATCCGCAGACGACGATGATGATATGTGATGATCGATGATGAAATAGCTCAATGAGAGTTGGTGGCCGCGACGAGGTAAAACTTGCATCTATGTAGGACTGCAACTTTGAGGCCTTAACGCATCGTGCAAACATGGCACTGCACCTTCACAGACCCACTCCCACTTGTACAGGAGCATCGCAGCACAAGTGCATTTGTGGTGCCCCGTATTTGCTGAGCACTGGCAGGTGTATCTTAACATACTTTTGCATCTTTGAGCTATGCGTACATGCTTGGATACACTCCGTGCATCCATGGACATGCGTGTCTGCACAGTATAGGTCCAAGCATGATTCGAGGGCCACCAAGGTCCCAGCTCCAAGGCCAAAAAATCATTATAGTTGATAGTAGTTGTAAAGAACAAGGTTTCTGTCATGATTCGTCAAGTTGTGTTGACTCAATCTCTGAGAGAGTCACCTCAGTCATGAGTTTGATGCACACAGACTGCTGTGCAGCTGTGCAACATTCCTGACATTCCTCTGCCACTCCTTGAAGCTGAAGCGCAGGATGGGGCTCTCACAATTGCTCGCACCAGGAGGATGTCGGAGTGCGCTGCCAGGCAGGGTTTGCGACCAATGATCCACCCTGCATGCGTATAAACAGCAGCAGCAACATCTTCAGCAACGACGGTGGCTACCAAACGATGAACAATATCAACCACAACAAACATGACATGAGCAGCAGCGGTACACCGTTCCAGGTTTCTATACTCGACCTCTTTTTTGCTTCTGCTGCGGCGTCCCTCAGTTGTTCTTCCGTTTCTGTATCTCTCTCCCCAGTGGGACAAGTCCTACCACCCTCGCCACATGTCTCTGCTAGGGGACAGGGGCCGCGCCCCCACCAGGAGTCGAATCTGAGCAAGTGGAACACGAGTGATACGTGAGCCATATGTGCAGAAGACAATGTAAGCCCAAGGTGCAACCTGTACATTGCAGACCCCGCAAGGGAACCGCCAGCAATGCGCAGAGGTGTCTGCTATCCGTGCTAGAACGTTTGATCACAGGGCACAAAGCAGTGACAGCATTTTTCGGGAGGTCGGGGCGAGCCTCATTCTGACAAGAGCCTGCTCCCATCACGATGACATGCTATGCATTGCCCTGATGGAGGGCGATTCGGTTGGGTTGGGGCATTCTAGGAATCTTGCGACGCTTTGATGGGAGCCTTCAGCCCTCTTCGCCCTGGACCTCAGACCCTATAGACCCTGGGACCTCGAAACGTCAAGGTTTAGCGTGTTACGGCCCAGGCTTTAGGGTTGTGGCCCAGTCTCGTAACTGGATAACATAACGGAAAAAGTTCAGCAAGAAAAAGGCAGCATAAGCAGGAGGGGGAGGGCACAACCTTTTCACGCCAAGAGATGCTAAGAGCATACGAAACAAATGGCGGCAGCATGGAAAAGAAACGCTGTCAAAACGCATATGACACGGCAACGGCAACCGCCACACGAATCAACCATAGCTAGGCACAGATTACCGTCAGCACACACAAGGAAAAAGCGATAACAGTAATGCGGCGTGACCGCGGCTGCAATAAAACGTCCCAGCCATACTCAGAGCAAGTGCAAGCAGAATTTCGCGGACGCAACAACCACTCGGTTCGCAGCAAATTGCTACCGCCGCAAAACCGCAGCAGCCTTAGCAACACCGCGCTTTGGAACTTGAGCTGCCAGGCCGGGTGGGTACAGCTGAATACCAGCATGTCTCCGCCACCAAGTGCCCGAGATTCAGCCTCGCTGGTCGTGGCCAACGGTGCCGAGGCATACCTTTTTGGAGGCCGAGGCGACGGCCCAATCCGGCTGGGCGATTTCTGGAAGCTGACCATCCAGGCAGACGATCAAGCTCGGTGGACGCAAATAACCCCGATGATTGGCACGCCACCCTCACCAAGGCAGAACCACGTGTCCGTTTGGACCGGCTCCAGTCGAAACAGTATCTTGATCTTCTCGGGCTACGATCTGCCCACCTACGACTCCGAAGCCATGAATGATCTGTACGAGTTCAATTTGAATACCAGCACGTGGAGTCAGCTGAATCCGGATGGCATTGGTGGAGCTGGATCGCCTTCGAAAAGACTCCATGCCTCTGCAATCTGGGTCCCAGGCCGTGGTATGCTAATGTACGGAGGAGCCTACTATGTTCCCACTTTGGGACGCCTCGCCGACCTTTGGGAACTCTCATTTTCCCAATACCAAACCGGCTTTTGGACCCTGCTGGACGGCAATGTTGAAATAGCAGGAGCTAGAAGTGAGCACGTGTCGGTTTGGGCTTCCAACCTTGGCAGCGGGGGTAAGATGTTGATTTACGGCGGAGTTGGAGCTTCCGGAAGTATCTTGCACTCCATCGTGGCCTATGACCCCAATATTCCATCCGGCGGTCGATGGGAGTATTTCTCATCTGCTGGTGCAGTCGCACTGTATGCCACATCGGCCGCATGGTCCCCATCGAGACGATCCATGCGCGTTTTCGGGGGCAGAACCCTCACAGACGAGCAAAACGATGTGCGAGAGTGGAGCAGCGACGGCGGCTGGAAACTTGTGGACGATCTTTCCGGTACAATTCCGCCGAAACGCCGTTTGCACCAAGCAGTTTGGATGGCGCGCGAGGATGGATCTGAGGCGGGCAGCTAAGCCAGCGCGAGATAGCGCGAGGTTCTTATGGTTTTGCCTGCGTGCGATGTGTCATGCGATCTGGTGTGTTCTGCATGGCAGGCCATGGTGATTTTTGGCGGCGTTACCGGTTCCACCCGTTACCAAGACACTTGGAGGCTGCTGGCCTGAGGATAGCAGGAGGACGCATGTGGGGGCCCTGTGGGGTTCTGGGCGCTGCTTTGTGTGTTTGAGTCTTGCTCTTTGCATGTTGTGGCGAGGAGCCCGCGGGGACGAAGACTGGGACTTGAGAAGGTGCCTCTATAGATTCTAGAGATCCTTCCAACTTTTAACTTGGCCCTGGCGGCGCTGCCTGAGCCGAACTACTCGGACCGGCTTTGGCCGACAGGAGAGTCTGGTCAGGCCTGCAGGCCAACAGACCGAGGCTCGTTTTAACCCCAGCAATCGTTTATAGAGCCCCTGCCATTGCTAGAGCCCCTGCCACGCATTGGCGAGGAACGGGCTGTGTGTATGGAGAAGGAATATTGGTCAGCCTTGCTTCGAAAAGTACGGCAGCAAAGCGGCAGTCGCCAGCTGCACCTTTAAACGGGAGACATGACCATTGTCCATGGAGCTTGGTGCGTCAGCTGTTGTTATCAGTAAAGGCCAAGAATGCTGCAACACCGGCATTACAACAACAATGTTCCGAAAGCGCCCGCGCAACATGCTAGTGCGAGAGGTCGGGATGCTGCGCCAGCCCTTGAGCTGCGGTTGAGCTGGAGGCGAGCCGGTGTGATCTTGCATCTTCATTCGAGCTGCGCAGCGGGCTTCTGCGTCGGTTGGGGAGATATACACTCTGCAGGAGTTTCTGCAAATTTCTGCATGGCGACCAGACCACGCATGCTGGGGGAATCCAAGCCAGGCTAGCCTTGGGCATCGTGCCCTCAGCCTCGAAACACTCCAAAGCGGCCTTCGGCGTTTTCCGTCGGATTTTGCTTGTAGGGCCCCCCCCCCCCCCCCAAACAAAGAACAATCCCAACGCGCTAATCCCTGAAACCCAGACAAAAAGACCCTCAACTCGTAGCCTTAAAAGCCCCAAAGTCGATGTCAAATGATTCGACGCTCCGAACATGCAAGAATTGCAAGGTTGTCGACTCGCGTGTCCTGTGTCTCATGGAGGTTCACGACTTTGGCGGCCCTATCCTCAGATTGAAATGTGCTCCAAGGCCTTCGGGGTGGCAAGCTGTGCGTCGAAACAAGTCGCTCCGACATCTCCAAGCGTTGCGGAAAGCGCTTAAGACTTCAAAGTCATTGACTGTCAGGATTGCCTTTGGCAGATGTTGGAGCCTCAAAGACTCAAAGGCTCATCCCGAAGGCTGGCGCTTGCTTCTGGAACCCTAGATCTTCCTCAGCTTGAGAGAAACAACCCCGAATGTTCGGTGTATCTTGAGCCTGAATAGTCACACACTCAAGAAGAGGGTTTAGATGGGTTTAGGGGGTGTCACATCGGCTTCAGGAGCCTGACTGTCCGAACCCTGCTCTGTCAAGGGCTACAGTATGCTGCAGTATAGCAGTTCCCCGCGAGGCTGTGGATGCCAGGGTTGCTACTGTGGGATGTGCAGAGCTCAGCGAGTCGCGCCCCAACATGTCTGGTGTGGGCTTGCGAATGTGCCCCAAGAGCTGGTTCGAGTGCGCCAGGGAGCAGGAAGGCATCCTGATGACTAGACAGTCCGGCTGTGAACTGTGACGTTTCTGCTCTTTCCTCCGCAGAATTTACCCTCAGGGCCCAGCAGTGTGCTGTAGCCATTGCTATTCTTTCCCGAGCCGAACTCTTTCCAGCGACATGGGAACCCAGCTCTGGAAGTTCGCGCTCGCAACTCGGCCGCAAAAGAGAGCGGCAGCCGCAGGGCGCCGGCCTCGCAGTCGTATGCACTTCTTGCGGGCCCGTGTTGTTGCATGTTTGTTGCCACAGCTCTGAGTTGCTGCTGGAGTTCGTGGCGGTACATGGCCAGAGCCAGACCCCCGAGACCTGTGAGGGAGAGACCTGCGAGGAGGGCGTGTTCATGCAGGTCCGCTCCATGCCAGCATCCTTCCTGGAGCTGTCCCTGGCACAGATCCGCAGCGGAGCCCGCGGTGCGCCGGTGGAACAGCTCAAGCAGCAGCTTCGTAGCATGGCCATGGCGAGGGTAGGGGCCGGCAGTGGCGACCCAAACTACACTGTCTGGAACATCAGCCAGGCCAACTTCTCCGCAGTCTTCGCCTCCATTAAAGAGGACATGGAGGCGATCATCGACGAGATCGAGCTCTCAGCGACCCGGGACAACAACCAGCTCGAGTTGGCGCGGGGCGCCGTGGCCGACTGCAACACGCAGCTGAACAGAAGTGTTCCGCAAGACGTGCAGGACTTGGGGTCGTCACACGACAATTGCCGTCTGGACCAGAAGCAGGCTCGCTGGAATGCAATTCTTGCCAGCACTCAGCTGAACGATCACCTCCAAAGCCCGTATGCCTCTCACCCAGACGCTCCAGGTTGCTTGCGCGACTTTGCACAGTGCGATCAGTCCACTGACGTCACTGACCCTGCGAATGCGCAGCGCGCCGCGGAATGCAAGGGCATCATCAGGGCCTGGTCGGCTTCCAACTTGACCGAAACCTTGGTTCAGGACTCTGAATCTGCTGCTGCCACGTATGAAGCGCGGAGAAAAGAGTGCAACGCCAAACAGCAGGACTTCGAGATTGGCTACTGCAGCTTCCGCACGCATCTATTGGACCAGTGCAGCTTGCGGGACAACTGCCACGACAGCGCGCAGAGCCTCTTCAACAGCACCCGTGACCTCATCCTTCAATCGAACGCCAGCCGGTACGTGGCTTACACCTCCGCAAGGCAAGTGCAGTGCTACATCGACGTGCTGAGTGCGGACGATCTGACAGCCTCTGCTGTCGACAGCTGCGACCAGGCCCAGTTCGACACCTCCAACCTCACACTTAACATCCCCGAGCTGCCCGCCAAGCCGCAGTGCGAGGTCTCTGATGACGACTTCCCTTGCGCAGACGATTGGATCCGCGAGACCTACAGAGATAACGTCCTGTATGCCGCCTGTGCCGCCCTCGGAACCTGGCGATGCTGGGCCTGTGTTCTGAATTTGTGCCATTTAGGTGCCAGTGCTGCTCACTGCCGCTTACTGTCAGGCAGACCATGCACAATTTCCGCACAAGCCAGTTCTTCGAATGTCCCTGCCTCAGCAATTGACGCTCAGCTGCGGCAGCAGCGATGAGCGCCGCGGGGGGAAGTCCCAAACGCCCTACTAGAGCGTTTGCGAACATCTAGGGTCTAGATGTTCAAGTGCTCACATCTCTGATCATGTCTGTTTTTGCCTCATCTCTCTGAATGACACTGCTCTTGGCTCCGGCGTTTTGTTTTTTTCTCTGTATTTTGCTTTAAGCTTTAGGGTTGAGGCTTCGAATGGAAGCGAAATGCAAACGAGCCATGACAGGCCATTCGTCTCGGGCGGGGCGCCTTCCACGAGGGTGACGGCTGGGCCGGCAGAGTCGAAGTCTTCCACGACGGCCAGTGGGGAACCGTTTGTGACGACGTGCCCATGCGTCGCAATGAGTGTGTGCTGCCACATTCCGTCCGAACTACACAGCTTCCTTTAACATGTATTGATGACCTCCTCCCTTAAGAAGTGAAAAGCAACTAAGCAGTTGATGGGCGCAAAAACTTATGAGGTGGCATATGGGTGAGGATGCCGAAGCCCGCCTTTAGGGGTTTGAATAACCTTGGATATCTTTGGGTAGTTCCGCGGGCCCCTAGTATGCTCCCATGCTCCCTGACCTCCCTTACAGGGTTCTGATGTATGCGCCCTTATTTGTAGAGGGCATATAAGGGGTCCCCTTTTAAAGGGCCCATACGAAGGGACCATGAAACTACCCGTAGAGAATGGGTTTGACAACATGTCCAAGCATCTCGGGCAAATCATCAATTGAGCGTGTGGGTGGCCCCGCATGCTGTTCCGTCATGCCGTTCCGTCAATTTCTACGACTTCGGAGGCCCTGTGCGCTTTCGGCGCTTAGCAGATTCCTTGATGGGTTGCTGTGCTCAGCTTGTGCTAACCCTGGCCACAGCCATGACAACTCTGGATGTTTCATCTTTCAGGCCGGCACGTTTGCATCAGGCATCAAACCCAACCAAGCCATGTCTTGAATTCCCCAAACAGTCTACTGTTGGGGTTCTAAATTCATTAAAGGATTGCCGACATTCTGAGGACTGTTGCCAGGTTCCTGGGCTCCTTGTCTCCCCGTTGTCTCCCTTCATGTGGGTGGCTTTGCCGGGTTGCTGTGCTCCTCGCTTTCCTTTGTCTCCCGTCGTCTCCACTGTTTCTTTGACGTGCCTTTGACTGTTTGGGGTCTTCGGTGGTGCAATTAGCATATCACCCTCGCTTCACCAACAAAACGTTTGAACCCAACAAAGCACTTGGTGAGGCCGCAGTTTGACAAAGCCAGGCCCAAGCCAAACCCAACAAGCCATTCTGGCAGGTCTGCAAGTTGACATCCAGCATCAGCCCAGCCTATGATAATGTTGATAGTGTTTGGGTTTTATGTGCAGCTTTAGATTGTGCTTGCATCTAGGACATGACCACAAAAAGTCTTCACCTGCAGGCTGAAGAATGACTTCCGTGTCACTGTGCATGTGATGTAATTGCTGCTGAGGTTGGTGATTTACGTGTTGTTTGCCCACATTTTTGAGAGCCCTTCTTAATGCCGATGTGGATGCAAAATCCCCTGCAGCCAAGATGTCAAGCGTGTTTTTCGATGCGGCATTTGTTTGTTCAGATCGGTGTTTTGTGCGCCGCTTGCCTGGGGATTCAGGCGCAAACTTTTTGCAGCCGAGTTTCGAAAAGGATGCGGGCAAACCAAAGAAAACTTAGCCGGGCAACCCTCAACCGGAGACACCCTTGGTGGCGTCGTTCCCCACAATACCTTTGATGCTGTATCGTTGGCGGGGAATGAAAGACCCTTAACCCTAAGCAAAGGATCTCCACTCTTCAGTCAAAGCAAAGCAAAAGCGAAGCTTTACCAAATGGGCTCCCTAAACTCTAGGGTTCAGGGTTTAGGGTGAGGGTTCTTCTAATATCACGATCTTACGCTGTCTGCAAGAAGATGTCCCACCATGTGCCTGTGTGTCTTCCACGCATGCCCAAGAGGCAACATGATCTGGTTTAGGGTTTAGGGTTTAGGGTTTAGGGCTTAGGGCTTAGGGCTTAGGGCTTAGGGTTTACAGTTTAGGGTTTAGGGTTGCCAGATTCCGGTTTGGCGCTGCCTTCGGGCAAAGTCGTTCCCATATCTGCAACAGCCTGGGACATCGCATAAATTCCATTGTATTTACAATACTTTTGCACTGCTGCAACATTCAATGCTACCTACGTGAGATGGGCACGCAAGGGAAAAAGCAGTAGGCGTAGATCTTGGGGGGGGGAGCTGACCAAACCTTTACAAGCTCGCCTTAGACGTCTCTGCTTTCAGAAACCCTTTTAGAGGATAGACACTTCAAAAAAAAAGTTTTCCAGTGCGCTCTCTCTCTCTCTCTGTGGAAAAGTGTGCTGGTGCATGATAGGGCCTGTTATGTTCCGGTTGTGTTTCCTTCCGATCTGTTCTTAAGAACTGAAGGACCAAGACTTTGTCCCGTTGCTGTCCCTGCTGCCTACTTCTTGGTCTGCGGTTTGCCTTCGCGCTTTCCCTTTTATGTAGCGTGCTTTTTGTTATGCCCCCGTTTCGCTGAGGGTGTTATTTGTTTTGAAGGTGTTTCTTTTCATGCTGCCCAGTTCTCCTGTTACTCTAGAGAATTTTGAGCCTGGGTTCATCTTGAACCAGCACAAAGACCCACAGGGCTTTGTTTAGGGCTCAGGGCCCGGGCATCACAAGCTATACCCCAGGGTTTGAGGTTGAGTGGTTGAGTGGTTAGGGACAAGGGAAAGCTTGTTTTGAGTTGTGTGTGTGTGGCTTTTCGGATGCTTTTGGGCAGGCTCGTCTTTGAGGACGACCCGGAACCCTGAAAACCCTGGACCTTGGACCTTGGAAGCCCTCATATGCTTTGGGGTTAAAGATGTTTGTGGCTGTGGCTGGGTTCTTGCTGTGAAGCTTTTGTGGGAGAAACCAAAAAGTCTCAACATGAGACTTTAAAACTATAAACAAAGCTTGACACATCAGCTCGATGAAATTCTGTTGCTTTTCTCGTAGCCGCAGCACAACAAACACAAACAAATCAGTCATGGGGAACAACCACCAAAAACAGTAGGAAAAAGAAGCACAATTTTGATAATGCAACTCGATGAATGATGCAGCTAGCAGCAGAAAAAGCCATCACTCCGTTGCGAACTGAGTCGTTCGATGACACTGCTGCTGCGGTGGTTTGCCGCCAGCTGGGCTTTGAGCGGGGCGGCGTTGTTCTTGCCACGGATCCCGGAAACTCGGGTGTTTGATCAAATGCATGGTTTCTTGCTGTGAATGTATTATGACCAGAACGACAACGAGTCGAAACAAGACACAAACATGGACACACGCGCTTGTTGCCCTGATGATTAGCCCGAGGAAGTGGACCTGTGTGGTTGGACCGGGTGGCGTGCACAGGTTCAGAGAGTCTACTTTGGGACTGCAACTTCACAGGCCCCGCATGTTTCGCATGAAGTGGCAAGAGCAGTCGTAAACGACCGAACTTGTCCCTCCTAGCACAGGTTGGGGCTCCCACAGCTGTTCGCACGAGGAAGATGTCGGAGTTGACTGCCAGGCAGAGGCGGCCCCAGGGACCTTAAGTGCGGTTAGGCAACATGTTGTAGATATTTCTCTGTGCAGTTGGCGCAGGCGTCATGGGCGCTGCAATACAATGCTGTGAAGGGTTTCCAGGATGCCGCCCTTGCAACCACTGACAGTGGAGGTTTTCTGCATGGCGGGTGGAGGGATTCCCATTTTTCTTCGCTCTACCAGTATACCAATCGAGCAGACTACGCGGCGATTTGGAGTTACAAAATTACCTTCGGCGATGGTCCATCTGGCCGATCACGGCACTCCTTGGTGTGGACGGGCTCGAGCCGGAACAGCCTGATTCTGTACGGTGGGGCGACCAGTGACATTGACGGTTATGACGGCGCTGTCTATGAACTCACCTTGCAGGACTTGTACTGGCACAAGGACGATCAGGGAATAAGTCAGGTTCCAGCACGGTTCGGCCATTCGGCGGTGTGGGTACCAGACAAGGGCATGTTGGTCTATGGCGGATACTGGAAAGGCCAAATTTGGGAGGACCTTTGGCTGTACACTTTGTCCAACGTATGGTCTCGTCTGGCCAGCCAAGCTGCACCAGGCGAGCGATATGGGCATGTAGCTGTTTGGACGCAGAACGAGATGCTGGTGTTTGGTGGAAATTCCAATCCACATTCCACGACTCTGTGGATCTATAGACCCGACACTGGCAGTTGGTTCACATTTCAAGGAACGTCGTATGAATATTCAACCTACAAAACCTCGGCTGTGTGGAATCCCACCAGAGAGTCCATGCTGGTTTTTGGTCACAACAATGGCCCTCCCGTGCTTACCGAATGGATCCGGAACAACAACTCCTGGTCCCTACAGCGGCGGAACGTCCCAGACTCTGTGACCTACCGTAGAGGTACCACTGCGGCCTGGGTGCCCGACAAAGAGGCCCAATCATCCCAGTGCCAATTCCTGTGTTTCCCTCCCGTTTCGTAAGTGTTTCCTGCCCTCATGAGTGGTAGCATTAGCTCGCAGGTCATGCTGATCATTGGTGGCTTCATCACCGCCACAAGAACGTACACTTCAGAAGTTTGGACATTCAAGCCGTGAGGACCGGGAACATCACGTTAAAGACTGCACACTCTAAGGGTCTTCACCTTGTCCTTTCGAGGAGCCGAGGGAGCCGGCTACGAAGACTGGGCATGGCTGGGGCTTGAGAAGGTGCCTCCATATCCTTCCAACTTTTAACTTGCCCCTGGCGGCGCTGCCTGAGCCGAACTACTCGGACCGGCTTCGCCGGCAGGAGCTCAGTTCGTTTAACAATGTAGCTCTGAGGTGACAAGGGCCGGAGGCCAAGAAGGGCGACTCTACAAGCCCTCCTCGCCCCAGCTCCCAGCAGCAGTCAAAGAGACAAAGAGTGTTTCTGCGCTTGACATTGGCGGGACAGCACTCGAAAGACACCTCTGAGTCTCAGAGCCTCTCTGTTCTTTCGAAGAAGAGGTAGTCCCGGTAATTCTGGAAGGGTGGTGTCATGTGCGGGGGGCCGCCTAGGCGTGACGGTAGGTGAGGCTCGCTACAATTTGAGGCAACGTGTGGCAATGCTCTGGTTTGTTACTGGCTGTCGCCAGTGAAACAACCACGACGCCAGCTGAAGGAGAGTGGCAGCGCTGCAGCGACATGAAAGCTTTGACTGCCAACGCGCTCAGTGTACAGGTTTCTGGAAAGGTTGATTCCGAGGTTACGGTTGGTGGTCTGCAGGGTGCGGAGCGCAGGTGCCGTCGTGCCGTGAAATGCCTTTCCGGCCAAGCCAAGCGTGAAGTCCCAGTCCCTAAAGGCACCTGTCCAGAGCTTTAAAGCCCGCGCAAGAACCTTTCATTTCACTTTTCAGGCGCTCAACCGGGAAGCGATGGTGCTGGATGCGTCCTTGCCGGTCCAAGGCTAAGCTTGATAAGCGGCGATGCTGATGTAAAGCCGTAACACAGCAATCTTGTCAATTAGCATATGTGCGCATGCTTCGATTATCGCTCATGTGACATGAGCCGTTCTTGACGCAGGAACCACATGCAGGCTGCAAGAGTACCGGATTGGTTAATTTAGTTCTGGGTTTAGTTCCACTATCCCTCCTATCTGGCACCAAAGCCTGAATTAAGGTGCAGCGAAAGGGACGCTGACACCCACGCATGTGCCCTTGCATCCGTCGAGGCCCAAGTTCCAAGCCCCGTGACCATCACCCGGCGTGCTGCTGGAGCCTTGGCTGAGGCTTCATTGGAAACAAGTACGGGGGTTTACGAAAATAGGGGCCCCCCAAAAAAGACCCCCAGATAGTAGGATTCCCTTCGATTCAAGCCCCCTAGAAGGTACCCGTCTTTTCGGAACAATAAAAAGAGTTATGGAAAGGTTGGCTTCCATTGGGGAGACTGCACTTCGCCGTTGAGGGTTCTTGGGGTCGGAATCTTGGACCTACGCTCGGTTTTGGATGGCTTTGTTCTCACGAAGCCAAAGGCAGCTCACCATGCAGTCACGATGGGAAGTCTCCAAGAACCTGTCAGGGCCTCCTGGGAAAACGCGCCTAGTCTGCTTGGTCCAGAATCCTGTCGGCCGGAGGCCGATGCGAGGGTTTGATTCTAGGTACTTTCGGGCAGGACTTGCCCGCCTGTGCTTGTTGGCAAGATGCATCAAGCTTCGTTTCAGGCCGGCATCTGAACTGACCACCGCCCTGGCTGTAGCGTTTACCCCGGTGTTCGTTAGAAGCTCGCTGCGTATCATTCGGTTATCATCCTGTACTTTCAAGACAGCAGAAGCCTGTAGAACTACCCGTCCGTAGCCATCAAGAGCTTTGCAAGGAGTTGTTGTGAGTTAGGTTCTTGGAACGATTGGCGAACGCCTTGGCATGCCTAAGGCATGTCCATGGCTTTGCGCATTTGCTTCATGGTCTTGGCGCTAGCAGATGTCCTTCCTTCACATGCAAAGCTGCAGATAGAACAGAAGGAGGCGTCTTCTACCGATGCCAGCTTTCCGTGGCATGGTGGTTTTTACATGCGCTCCACGGCACCCACCACAGGTCGATACTACGCACGGAGTTCATGGACACCAAGGAAGCGGTGGCGATCATGGCAGAGAAGATGGCGTTGGAAACGGTGGACGCAAGCGGTGACCACGACTGGCCAGGCTACGACGTCGACAGTGTCGACAGCCATGTCCACCACTGACCAGCCCACGACTTCCACTGTCACGTCGTCGTTGGCAGCCATGTCGACGTCTACAGTCACGTCGCCAGCCACGTCCTCCACTGGCCTTGCTACGACGTCGACGATTGGCCAGGCTACAACGTCGACAGCCATGTCGACTGTCACTTCGTCGTTAGCCGCCATGTCCACGTCTACAGTCACGACGCCAGCCACGTCCTCCACCGGCCCTGCTACGACGTCGACGATTGGCCAGGCTACGACGTCGACAGCCATGTCCATCACATCGTCGTTGGCGGCCGTGTCCACGTCTGCAGTCACGTCGCCAACTACGTCCTCCACTGGCCTTGCTACGACGTCGACAGCCCTTGGCGCCAACGACGACGTCAACAAGATCAAGGACTCGCAGGACGAAGCTGTGCAAGCCGTGCTGCAAGACTTGCCTGACAATGCCACTGTGACCCAGCCTGGCTTGCTGGCAATCACTACGAGCAACACTTCCTCTGGGGAGACTGTGGATGTGGCCCTAATCAGCACGGTAAACATCACGAACATCCAGGGTCCTGTGAACATACCTGTGAGCGCAGGCGCCGGCGAAACGTCAGTTGTGTCCGTTCCAGCAGCGAGCCTGGCTGTCATCGCAGCAATCGCCAGTGCAAACGGGAGCAGCGCAAACGCCACAAACAACGCGACGGGACGAATCATTTTGTCGGTCAGTCGACTCAAAAACACGTCGACAGAGTCCATTGGCGGCAATGTGGTCGATCAGAACTCTGCAGTGGCGATTGCTTTCCGTGATGAAGCTGGCAACATCCTCGAAACCATCGAGCTGCCCGAGCCTATCAGCTTCCTGCTACCGACGAACAACACAAGTTTCGAATGCCTGTTCTACGACGAGATTCTCTCAGAATGGTCTAAGAAGGGCGTGGAAACAAGTCCAGACCCACCGGCTGGGGCACTTCTGTGCCTCACGACTCATCTCTCAATCTACGCTGCCGGGGCGCCTCCCACAAGCACCACAACGAGCACCACGACAGTGCGGCCACTCAACTCCAGGGTATCGCAGATTGCTTTAGTGGCGTCACCAGCAACGGGAGTGGCCGGCACGAACACTTTGGCAGTGAACGTGACTGGTTTTGAGGTTGGAGACACCATAGTCGTGCAAGATGCTCAGAATGCTGAGACACACATCATCGCTGCAATACAGCTGCCTGGCGAGCTTGCCTCAAGCTTAGTTACTTCCGCTGTAGTCTGGCAGCACAGTATCATTCAAGAACATGGTTTGGTCCAAGACAGTTCACCAACGATTGCAGGTTTTGGCCAGAAATCTTACTTCAGACTTCAGAGATGGGGACGGCGCAGTCGCCAGTGTACTGAGCAGAACCACGAAACGCGTCCTGATTACAGTGGCTCGGTCGCACATGGGGCTAGTCACGAAAGCTAGCTTATCAGGGATCCGGACCAGTTCTGGTGAAGTTGCAAGCTTTCAATCGAGACTCTCAAGAGGGGGGGGGGGGGGGCGGTGGTCGCCATTCGTTTTGTGTATGTTCCCGGCAGCAATTTCTCCATGATATCCTGTGCTGATGGCAGAACTCCCAGCCATCCGGTTCTAGATTTAAAGAGAAGCCGTGTCGAAACTGCCATGTGTAGCCTGCTGGATCATCTGACTGAGCTGTTTCTGCCGAAGAGTGTCACTCCACCTAGAAAAGTATCTGCCCAAATTTGCTTGATTCGGTCATCACTGGCTGGCCTTCGGAGTATCTTGGTGCTGGACGTCTGATCTCCATGTTGTTGTGCGACTAGTGACTAATGACTAGTGACCAGTATCTAGGAACTGGTAACTGGTAACTACTATCTACCAACTACTAACTACTAGCTACTAGCTACTACCGACTAACTACTATCTACCAACTACTAACTACCAACTACAAACTCCTAGCTGCTAGCTGCTAACTACGAACTACGAACTACTAACAACTAACTACTAACTACTGTTTTTACAATGTATTCGTCATTCGGGTCCCAAGAAAACGCCTCAAAAAGGAGGCAAAAAATCTGGCGTAAACTACTTCGGAAATCGCACAAGATTCATACTTATGTGGTTCATGACTCATGTGTGAGTGTGAAAAGATCAAGACCTTTAAGTTTTCTTTCAGCAGGTCGCAAGACTCAGAATCGCAAAACGCTGTAAATACCAGTGTTTTTGGGCATGGTCGCCAAAAGCATGGACGCTTGCGACCGCGTGTCTTGTTCTACATCCCTGCGCAGTATGTTGTACAGAGTGATGAAAACGCTGTAAATGCCAGTGTTTTGGGCATTGTGACAATGTGTCTTGCTCCACATCCTTGCGCAGTATGTTGTACAAAGAGATGAAAACGCTGTAGATGCCACCAGGGTTTTGGGCATAGGCGCAATATGAATGACGTTCTTATCCCCTCCCCTCCCCCCCCCACCCCTCCCCCCCTCAAACCACAGATAAACCCCAAAAAGTGGACTTGAACCCATGGCCGAGTACGCGCCGTAGCCCAACTACCAACTACCAACTACTAACTACTAACTACTAACTACTAACTACTAACTACTAACGGCTACTTGTCAGTAGTCAGTAGTAGAAAGTCAGTAGTCAGTAGTGAGTAGTGAGGAGTACTGACTACTGACTACTGACTACTAACTACTGACTACAGACTACAGGCTACGGACTATGGACTACGGACTACAGACTACGGACGACGGACGACGAACTACGAATTACTTACTACTTACTACTTACTACTTACTACTTGCTACTTGCTACTTGCTTCTTGCCACTTGCTACTTACTACTTACTACTTACTACTAACTACTTACTACTAACTACGAACTACTAGCTACTAACTACTAACTACACACTACTAACTACTAACTACTAACTACTGACTACTAACTACTAACTACTAACTACTAACTACTAACTACTAACTACTAACTACTAATTACTACTACCACTACTACTACCACTACTACTACCACTACCACTACCACTACCCACTGCCCACTACCCACTACCCACTACCACTACCACTACCACTACCACTACCACTACCACTACCACTACCACTACTACTACTACTACTACTACTACTACTACTACTACTACTACTACTACTACTACTACTACTGACTAACGACGATGACGACGACGACAACTGCTTAGTGCTGCTCGCACTGAGTGCTCGGACACATGGGCTCCAAACTTACAGGGTTTGCATGGCCATGGATTATAAATCCTTGCGCAGAACCTTGAGGCCTCATAAAACCTTGAAGCTTGTGCTGTCAAGCATGCTTTTGCAGTATTTTGCAGCGCGAATCCATGCGCCTCGCGCTGCTTGATCGGTCCATTGCTCCATGCGACTCCTTCGGTGACCCCACTTCTGGAATTTGCGAGGAAGTGACCTGGTGACATTGCGCTGTGGTGTGCACCTGCTCACTTCCCTGCACCTACCCCTGGTACTCGCACAGCTGGATGCGGAAGCCGAGCAACCTGTGAGGAACCGGGTTTTTGCTTCCATCCTTCCCCTACCAGCTGGGTTTAGTCTTCTTCGGCCTTGGACTTTGTATTTCGAAATGCCCGAGAACCTTCAGCCGCCGTGGTCCTGGTCCAGCGTGGGCGGAGCGAAGAAAAACGCTGTCTCTTTTCGTCCTTTCGGGATTCCGATTTGCTCACGATGATGGGCTGGCTTTGTGTTTGGGCACGATCGATGATATCGGCCTTTCACGAGCACG